GTGCTGCTCCACAGGGCCCCCTCACAAAGTCCTGTCAGGAGGCAAACGGCCTCTTCAGGTCAGAAGCTCCAGCTTCACAAATAAAGTGACTGTGGGCCCAGGAGCCGTCCTTGTCACCGTAAGGAACCATATGACCAGCTTTAACCAGAGTTAGTGCTCTGTGGTACAAGCGGAAGACTTTTACCAGCAAATCAACTCCTGCTCTCTTCACCCCCACCCCCAACTTCCCCCAGCTGTCTGGGATCTGAATGAGCCCAGCTCCTCCCCTATCAACACACTGAGTCCCCTGCAGGGATGGGGGGGCACAACCAGCACCCCTGAGTGATACACACAGGACAGAGCAAGGAACCGCAGGATTAAAAATAAGGCTTATTTGGAATACATTTAAAGTAAGTTTATGGATTTGTAGCACAGGAAAATGGTCATACTTTGAGTTTTTGTCTTCTGGATGTATGTTACAAATGTGAAACATTTATTACAAAACCAATTCCAATGGAAGGTCAAATGTTGTATTGGCTCAACTGTAAAATTCTGAGTAAAATATAAAAATCAAGAAAAAAAATCAGGCTGGGAGATAGCTCAGAGGTCTAAGTGCCAGGTTCAATCTACGGTACCACATGTTGTACTGGCCCCATGCTGAGCTGAGACAGCCACTAAAACTGGGTGTGGTGGCACAGGCCTGTGATCCCAGCGCTGGGGAGACTGAGACAGGAGAATCACTATGAATCAAGCTGCGGAGTGAGACCCTGTACCAAATACATAAATAAAATATTTTTTTAAAGTTAAAATATTTTTAGGGGCCGGGGAGATAGCTCAGTAGAATAAGTGCTTACCTGGCAAGCACAAGGGCCTGAGTTCAATCCCTTGTTCCACAAAAAAACAAAAAAACAAACAAAAATTAAAATATTTTTAAAAAGAGAAAAAGAAAAAAAAGAAGAAAATCCCGCACTTTGATCCTTGAGCAAATTTTGTATTGGCAAAGAGCATTTTTAATGGGCAGTGGGGCCTTCTTTATGGGATTTGTCAAACTGCGGATTAAGCTAAATCTTGTCAGCCAACAGATTGCTGTTAGGCCCAGGGATTTTTCCATAATTGTAGAAGTTTTGGGCTGGCCAAATAGCTCAGTGGATTAAAGTGCCTGCAAGTAGGCACAGGGCCCAAGGGTTCAATCCCCAGGCCTGCTGTGCTGGCTCCACCCCAGGCACACTAAGATGGTAATTGAGACTGGGCGTGGTGGTGCATGTGCCTGTAATCTTAGCTCTTGGGAGGCTGTACACAGGTGGATCACTATGAGTCCGATCTGGTAGTTAGACCCTGAACACCTTCTAGACCCTTTCCTAAAATACAAAAATAAAATAAAATAAAATAAACATAATTGTAGAAGTTTTGCTGAAAGTCCGTATCTGGACACGATCAAGAAGGAAAAGAGGCCTGCTGTGCCAGCCCCGCCCCCGGGGTGTGCTGAGAAGGCCACTGAGACTGGGCGAGGTGGTGGCGCACCCCTGTAATCCCAGCATTTGGGAGGCTGTAAACAGGAGGATCATGAGCCTCATCTATGCAGTGAGACTCTGTCCACAATACAAAAGAAGCAGGAGGAGGAAGAGGAGGAAGAAGAGAAGGAGGAGGAGGAGAAGGAGAAGGAAGGGGGGGAGGAGGAGGAGGAGAAAGAAGAGGAGGAGGAGGAGGAGGAGGAGGAAGAGGAGGAGGAAAAGAGGGCTGGTGAGATAGCTCAGCAGTCTAAAGCGCCTGCTTAGGTAAGCTTAGGCAGGTGCAGAGGATTCAACTCCTGGCACCATATGTCACACCACTCCGGCCCTCACAGTGGGCTGAGCCGGGGTAGAGGGGAGGGTGGAAGAGTGGTGGGGTGGAGGGGTGGAGGGGGAGGAAAAGAATAGGCCAGCAAAAGGCATCAAGGAGTGCGTTTCAGGTTGAAAATAAGCCTGGCTTTGGGATGCTGTAGGTCATAGGTTGAAGCCCAAAACAAAAACAAGAACAAACCCCACAAACACCCAGCTTCCTTCACCTAGTTTAGAAAGGACAAACAGCCTAAGGAAATGAGATTATGACCCAGTCACAGCACTGTTTCTGTTTATCTCAGAAAAGCAATGCTTTTCTCTAATGATAGATTTAAAAGGCTAAGAAAAATCATGTGGAAGGCAATGAAACTGAATCCTGATTTTAACATACGGACCATTATTAAAATATATCACTGTACGTTGTTTTTTTTTGTGGTACCAGGGACTGAACTCAGGACCTTGCACTGCCAGGTGGGCACTTATGCTGCTGTCTCTCTTCCTCTAAATCCATCATTTTAAGTTAAATATCAGCAGTAAATGACTGTACAAATGAGAACATGTTCAGTGAGCTTTAGCAACTCTCATTTTCTCCTTCCAATTTTTTTTTTTCTTTTTAGACTTCTAGAAAAGTAGAATCACGATCACATTCTAACTTCAGAAAAGAACGGTCTCCCTAGTCTTGGCCCAGCTCTTCTCTACTACTCCGGTGCTGCTCTGGAGGGCATTACCTGGGTTACAGTGGTGCTTCCTAAATGATCTGTTTTATTTCTTGTTAGGTTCAGATTACAAACCTAAGTTTATTAACTTATAATCAAAGCAAATAGGGGCCAGGGAGATGGCTCAGTAGAATAAGCGCTTGCCCGGCAAGCACAAGAGGCTGAGTTCAATCTCCGGT